ATCTCTGGGGCCTCCTCTGGACTTGCTCCAGCAGCTCCACGTCCTCCCTGTGCTGTTCCCAGGGCTGGAGGCAGCTCTGCAGGGGGGTCTCACCCGAGGGGGCAGAGGTGATACCATCACCAGTTGTCCCCTCCCTCTCCCCCTCTCTCTGGTGCCTCAGCTGCCCGTTTTCCATGTCCTGCTCCATGTCTGGCCGTGCAGACACCACGGACTGTGCTCGGCTGCACCATCTGCATCCTCACGCCCGGGTGGGTTTTTGGCCTCCTCGGTGGTTAACAGAAATAGGTTTTAATTAAAAGCTCATTATCAAGTTGTCATGTAGCATTAGTAAATAAAAATAACTTTTACAGCCCTGCCTTGTGACTCAGTAAGTGGCAATTGAAAGTATTTGACATCACTTTATTTAAAAAAAAAATGGACAGATATTGCATATTTGATTCCCTGTTTGCTCCAAATGGGCTTTAAATCTAAATAAATGGTTGTCTCTGGCACTCTGGTTATCATTCAGGTCCAGAAGGAGAAATAAATGTGGTCTGCAGTCTCAAAATCATCTCCATTTCAGTTGTAAACTGTTGTGGGTGGGTGGTTTGGGCATCTCCTGAGGGGGGTTTGGAACAGCTACAGCCTATCCATTCCCTGATTCCCGGGTGGTTTGAGGGATGCTCTGCTCAGCCTTCTGCCATCTCCATCCCTGGCTCAGTGAAGAGGTGTCTTGTTAAAACTTGATTCTAAATGGGAATAACATCACTCAGTGGAAGCTGAGCACTTTTTCCTGGGGCTTGGTCCCCTTTTCCCAGGGGTCCTTTCCGAGGTCCTTTCCCCTTTCTCAGGCTGTGGTGTCACCACAGCAGGGGCTCTGCACTCTCTCCTCCTCCCTAGCACAGAACTAACAATAAAATGATCTGCAAAGCCATTTTCTGCATTATTTAAGGATAAATTGGTGCAGTAAAATACTCTATAGCTGTGAGTCACTCCTGCAAGGTCATGCACTACCCTGGTCCTGTGTGGGGGTGTGGAGGGGCCGCTCTGCTGGGTTTCCCTGGGAAGCAGCATTCCCAGGCTGAGCTGGTGAGCCTGCCTTGATGTCCCTTTATTCCCAAGCCTGATCCCAGGGACAGCTGAAGCTCCAGTGGTTTGTGTTTGTGATGATGAGGAGGTGACATCTTCATCTGCCACCCCTGGACAGAGCCAGGTTCTGTCCCCTGGAGTTTGGGCACCTCCCTGTTGTCCGAGGGGAGTTTCTTGTGTGAAGAACGTTAATATCAAGTGGTTAAAACTCATCCCTTTTTTTCCCCTTTTCCACACAGCTGGTGCAAATCCAATTTGACATCCTTGGTAGAAAAGCATCAGCCTGCTGGTGTTTTGGGAACGGTGACCCCCCACTCAACCCTCTCTGTGCAGAGAGGTTGCACCCTCTTGTTCCTTGCTGCCCATTTTTAAGGGTCATGGAATATCCTGAGTGGGAAGGGAACCCCAAGGACCATCCATTCCAACTCCTGGCCCTGCACAGACACCCCAAAATCCCGCTCTGTCTCTGAGAGCATCATCCAAACCCTCCTGGAGCTCTGGCAGCCTTGGGGCTGTGCCCACTGCCCTGGGGAGCCTGCTCAGTGCCAACCACCCTCTGGGGAAGAACCTTTTCCTAAAATCCAACCTAAACCTCCCTGACACAGCTCCAGCCATTCCCTTGCCTTCCCTCCCTCCTTGTCACCCCATGACAAGGGGATCAAACAACCCTCCTGCTCGTTTCTGGAGCTGCTTTATCGACTCGTGAGCTGAGGAGCAGTTGTGAAACTTGACAGAGAGGTTGTGCTCCCAAATAAATCGCCCAGTTGCCCGCGAGTTGGAAATGACTCCTGGTGCAGGTTAATAAATAATGCAAACCCCGTTAATAGATGCCAAATGCGCCGTCTCTGCCGGAGAAAAAGATGATGCCAATAACCTGGACTGGAAATACTCTGTTCTAGCCACTGGCTGCAGAGTTTTAAGTGTTTAGTGCTGTTAATTTAAAATGCTTCGCTGATAGATTGTAACCGCTCTGTGCTTAGTAAAGCACATAAATTCCAGCTCCGTGGAATAACAGCCTGTTTATAAAGCACCTCGGCCCCTGAATCCATCCAACCACTTGTGCTGTGATCCTGCTAATGGGAGAAGGAGCTGCAAATGCCAGGGGTGGTGCCTGCAGGATGCTGGAATGGCACATCCTGCGGGTCACGCCGAGCTGATCGTGATGGAGCCTTTTATTGGGAGATTGAGCTTTATAGCACCGTGCCACCCGCTCTGGCATATGGCTGAGAGGGTTTTTTTTTCTGCTCTGAGCTTCTTAGTTATGTTTTCAGGAGCTCGTAAGGGCTTGTAAAATCATCCTTGTGCTTCAGGTGTCACTTTAGTGCCGCGCAGGGAACGGTGTGATGGGCGGAGGGCGGGATGGGAACTGCCAGCCTGTCCTGGGCAGCAGCTCTCTCCATCCTCTCATGTCTGGTGGGGGGTGTTATGGGGGGATTTTACAACCAGAAGATGTGGCAGTTAATGATACAAAGCCTATAAAATAGGGGTGAGGAGGGCTGGGGTCCCGAATGTCTGAGAAGCAGGTGGAGTTCAGCTGTTGAAAGATGCCACTTGAATGCAGATCGTTACTTTAAGTACCGAGGTGTGGAGGGAAATCATGTCTGTTGGAATAAAGGTTTCTGCTGCTCATTGATATATTTAATGAAGGTAATTCAGCACAGTTGGGGAGGATCTGTGCAGTGTTATGGTTGGGGACTGGAGCATTGTGCAGGAATGTTAAATATATATTTCTGTCATCACATAAATGTGCAGTGACAAAGCGCTGGTGTAAAATGCAGCAGCAGAAGCCATCACTTGAAATACAGCCCCTTAAAGGGGGCTTGTAAAATAGAGAAAGTGATTTTTTACGCAGGCAGGTAATGATAGGACAGGGGGGAATGGTTTTAAACTAAAGGAGGAGAGATTTAGGTTGGGGTTTAGGAAGGAATTCAGCTGTGAGGCCCTTGCACAGGTTGCCCAGAGAAGCTGTGGCTGCCCCTGGATCCCTGCAAGTGTCTAAGGCCAGGTTGGATGGGGTTTGGAGCAACCTGGGCTGGTGGAAGGTGTCCCTGCCCATGGCAGGGGGTGGGATGAGATGGGCTTTAAGGTCCCTTCCCACCCAAACCATTCCATGATTCCCATCACCAAGTTAAAATTGCAAGGGGTAAAACCCACTCAAAGCTCTTGCTTTAATTCTCGCTGCTGATCTTGGAAATAAACTGGTGGTTTGCTTTTTGGGAGGAAACCTTGGGGTGTGCCAGCTGGTGAGGAAGGTTTGGGTGCCTGGTGTGGTTCAGTGAGGAGCCACAGGCAGTGGAAATCCCAATCCTGTCCGTGGGGATGTTCAACACACCGATCCTGTGGGATGTGGAGCAGTGTCTGGGGAGGTTTGGTGCAGGCACTGGGCTGAGGCAACGGGCTGAAATATGGTCTGAGAGAAGGAAAAACAGCCAATAACGCTTTATGCAAAGCAGTTTAGTGAAGAAATAGCCTTTTGCTGGCAGCCTGCTTTTATGTGCCTGCAAAAATGGTATCAAATAGCTGTTTTAATGTGTCTCACTCTGTTTTGTCTGAACCCTCGAATTAACCTCCCTCTTAAAACCACAGTCAGGGAAAGATCTTCTGCAGTCTGAGCCATCCTGTGCCGAGCTGGAGCCCATCCCGGGGGCTGGAGGGTGCTGAGAGGTGTGAAATCAGGGGGTTATAATTCCAGCTCTGCCAAACTCGCTCCTCGGGGAGTTTTGACCTCGAGGTGTTGACGGCGCTCGATCTGAGCAGTCCGGGGGAGGTGTTTTTATGGAGGGCAAGCGTCGGCTCCCTTCTATTCCCGGCCTGTCAGCCTGTCTGTGGCTGTGGGAAGGGACAGAACAGCGCCAGAGCCATTTGCTGCAAGCCGGCAGCATGGCAATGAGCTCGGGCCGTGCCCACCAGGCGGCACTGGGGGACAGCGGGACGGCCCCGGCGTTGATATTGATGCGTCCAGGTGGCACCGGGATTGAGTTGTAGCGACGGGGAGGATGTGCCGAGATCCCTTCGCCCAAGGGCCTCGCGGTAATGGCCGTATGTCTCGGCCCAGCGATCGTTTCCACCCTGCAGATGGAAGAGCAAAGTGGCTTTGGCATATCAGATTCATCTGCTTTATGTCCCTCTTCACCTTCCTGCCTCCCGACGCCTTCTGTTTTTATGAGCAAACTTGAGCAGCGACGTGGCTGCAGCTGCAGGATTGCTCTCAGGACACGCTCCCTGAGCAGGGCCAATTCTCTCCGCTCCTCAGCTGCTTTTGTCACCAGCGTTTTCAGCAGAAAATGCAGTTTGACTCTATCAGAACATGCTCCGGGAGAACCGCTGACTTCAGCGGTAATTAGGGGGGGTTTGAGCTCTTTTTCCCTCTCCTCCGTGCAGGGTCGGTGGCTCTGCCCGCGCTCCCTGCACGGATTGTGTCACTGCTGGTTTTTGGGAGTGCATTCCACCCTTCTCTGGGCCCCTGGTGCTGATGCTGGAGCTTCCTGGGCCGTAGGAAGAGACATTAAACCCACCAAGGGGCAGTTAAAGGGATTTTTATTTCTTGCTGGCGTCGGGCTGCTCCTACCAGGAACCTAAACATGTCAGGAACCTAAAGCTTAGCTCAACAGCAGCCTAAATGCACCCTTAGGTCCTCTGTTGAGTGTTAGTGGGTCACCAGAGGAGCAAACAGGGGCTTTACAGTGTCTTTCTTTGGGGAAGTGTGGAAATCACATCTCAGCTTCCTACTGAGGGAGGAGCTGGTGATCTGCAGATGAGATCAGATGGAAGGATGTGAGTGTGTTTTATTAGGATGTTTTCGTGCCTGTACCAAATGCCTTCTCCACACTCTCAAAGAAAGACCTTGTGAGGTGAAAACGGTGCATTTAGTCGAGCAGAGCCAAAGTGCTGAAACCCCCCTTTGTAACTGCTTCCTCTTGGCTGTCCTGCAGGTGAAGTGGAAAGGGAAGGACCTGTTTGACCTGGTGTGCAGGACGCTGGGGCTGCGGGAAACCTGGTTCTTCGGGCTCCAGTACACCATCAAGGACACGGTGGCCTGGCTCAAGATGGACAAGAAGGTTGGAACCAAAGTTCGGGGAATCACGGAGTGGTTTGGGTTGGAAGAGACCTTAAAAATCATCTTGTTCCAACAGCCCTGCCGTGGACAGGGATGACAAAGGAAAATGTCCTTTCCTCTTGTTTTGAATGCACGAGGTGGTATGGAGGTGAACTGGGACAGAGAATTTAAATCTCATCCCCGTGGCATCTGTAAGTCAGAAAAGCTGGCAGAGGTGCCCAGCCCAGCTCCCTGGGAGCTGTGAGGCCTCAGAGTGTGCACACTGAATCCCCTTGAGGCGTTCTGGGAGGTGGCCATGCTGGGCTGCTGCACTTTGGGGTGACTGCAGTGTAAATGGAGCCTAAACTTCTCTGCTCCTTGCCCCTGAACACAGAACCATTAGGGGAGAGGGGGAGTTGCTTCTTGGCTTGTTTGGTTGCTGAGATGTTCAAAGAGGAGGAAGAGCAGGGTGCAAAGGAGATGTTCAAAGAGGAGGAAGAGCAGGGTGCAAAGGAGATGGGGATAAGGGAGGAAACGCTTCCCAAATTTGTGAGTCTCTGGGGTGGCTTAGGGGGTTCTGTTCACAGCCAAAGGGTGTAACACCACAGCCAGGGAGGTCTGGGGGTCTCACCTCTCATGCCAAGGTTTCAAACCAACATGAATCTGAACTGGGCAGTGCCAGCACAACAGGAAGGAGGTGAGAAACAACACTGAAAGAACACGGTACAGGAAAGCAGGGAGAAAGTCGGGTGGTGGCGTAGCAGGGTCCAGGATTGCTCCACAAGGATCAGCAGAGGCAGTGAGCACACAGCAGATCAGGATCAACCTTCCCTGTCTCATTTCTCATGCTGTTTGTTGCTGCCTTTTTTGTTCCCTTGCCTAGTTAGGAGTGTCAGAAATGTTTGTTTTCTTTTTTTAACTACAGTGTCTGAACTATTTAGGTCTCTTCTCAATGTCTAAAAGTGTTTGACAAAAGATGTGTTGATCTGAGCAGAAGGGAGCTGGGTCTTGTCTTGAAGAAGCTGAGTGGCTCTTGTATCCCACAGGTTCTGGATCACGATGTTCCAACAGAGGAGCCCAAAACCTTTCACTTCCTGGCCAAATTTTATCCTGAGAATGCAGAGGAGGAACTGGTCCAGGAAATCACCCAGCACTTGTTCTTCCTGCAGGTAGGAGCCGTGTCAGTACAGTTTTCCAACCCGAGGGAGAAGGAGGCAGGATGAGAAGTGCCGGAAGGCTCCAGGGTCAGAGTTGGTCAGCAGAGTGTGCTCCTCATCCTTATGTTCACACCTCTCCAAAGGGACTTGCTTTCAACAGCAAAAACTTCCTAAAATAGGTGAAGGATGGTTTGTCTGGATGAAGCAGTCGGAGCTGCCCAGACTCCCAGAGCTCTGAAGTGGCAGTCAGGAATGATGAGGTGATCTGGAATATCCGTGGGTGGTGGCTCAGGGACATGGATCTGTCAGATGACACCTCTGCAGGTGTGGGATCAGCAGAGGGGTGGCAGCTGCCTCTGGACGTGATGGCATCGTTGTGTGGAGCAGGGGGAATTCATCCTGGAGAGCAGAGTGCAGCCAGCTCGTTCCCAGGCTGTACAGCAAAGCTCACCTCCTCACAAAACAGCCTCCAGGGAACTGGAGCAGAAGAAAAGCCCAGCAGCTCAGCTCTTGATGGAAAATCAGGGGAAACTCCCAGTCCCACCTGCCCAGGAGCTCGTACCCTTCTGTTGAGCACTGTGGTGAACAGGTTTTTATTTAAAGTACTCTACAGACCTTGGTGTCCTGAGGAGCCAGCTCAGCTGGGGATGCTGGGGCTGGGCTGGGAACGAGGAGCTGCTATCACAGGAGCTTTCTTTCAGACACAAGATCCATTCTTTGACACCTTTTCCTTTGAAGAGTTGTGTCAAGCATGGATAGAGGGAGTGGGATGCTCCAAGTCAGACCCTGGGTACTCGTTGGGATGTTTCAGCTGCTCTGTGGCTGTTAATTTGAAGATAAATTATAAAATTTAAAAAAAAAAAAGACACTAAATCTTAAGTTTGTTACACAAAAGTAGAGGCAACCTGGATTTGGAAGCTCTTGGGAATACCACTGTAGCCTGCAGGGCGCTCTGCCCTTTCCAAGTGAGCTCACCAGCTCCTCACTGTCCGGGTGCTCCTCACTCTTCCAAAGTCCACCTTTGTTTTCCAGAGCTGAAGGATTCTAAATGCAGAGTATTCCTGCTAATTTCCAGGCTTTGTCCCATGTACTGGTGTCTCTGTAGGGCTATTTCTACCTGTCTCATTTGCCAGGAGCTTTATCCACGACGAGGGAAAATGCTGTTGGCACCTTTGGGAAGGAAAACCAAGAGAGGAGAAGCAGCTCAAGCTGCATTTTCTAAAATGCAGACCGTGACTTTGCTGCTGGGATTTGTGTGCTGAGAGGAGCCTGGGCTCCTGTAAAGTGTTTGAGAAACAGGAGCACACATAAGCTTGTAAACTCTCCTGGTTTTTACCTTGATGCAGCAGAATATCTGCTGTGATTATGTCGTACCCAACTTTGAGGACTCAAAGCACGTTATAAATTCAAATTGATGTTCCTGCATCTCTGACAATCCATTTAAGTCTCCCAGGAAATCGCCTGCCTTTTTTTTTTCCCCCCACCCCATCTTTAATCAGGAAAATTAAGTGTGCAAACCCAAAAGATATCGAACATGACAGGTTTAATTTTTTAATGCACAGCAGCCGGGGAGGTAAAGCCGTGGCTTCGGGGACCTGCACGTTGGCTCTCCTGGGAGTGTGAGCAGGCTCTGCCTGCTGCTAAAAGCACTGCCACGGAGGTGACCCCCAGCTCTCCGTGCTGGGCTGGGATGGCAGGGAATTAGCCTGGAGCACAGGTGAGCACTGACTCCCAATGAGGCTGAATATCCCCGAGCAAAGCCTTGCTGTGCTCGGAGCCTCGGCTGCTGTTTTATTCAGCGGCGTCTGTGGATGTCCTATCAATCCACAGCTTGTGCCTTAAGAGGTTTTATCGCTGTGTTTACATCCAAAACGTTTCCCCCTCCTTGCCTTTAGCAACAGGATGGAGTTTCTGTCATTTCCCACATAGAAATTTAGTTCTCCCAACCCTGAGGAAGGGGATCTGTGAAAGCCTCTCCGAGACACCCCGGGCCTGGACTGTAATTAGTGTTCGGGAGATCGTTAAGTGTGCGGGTGACAGCTCGGGTTGAGACAAACTGCAGCCATCTGCTGTGACAGCCATGCTCTGCTCTGCTCTGCTCTGCTCTGCTCTGCTCCACTAACGTGTGCTTTCTGTCCTTTGCTGCTCCGGGTGCAGGTGAAGAAGCAGATTTTGGATGAGAAGATCTACTGTCCTCCTGAAGCTTCTGTCCTGCTGGCCTCCTACGCCGTCCAAGCCAAGGTGGGCACTGGGGGTTCTCCTGGGGCCTCCTCGTGGTGGTGATGGGTTAGTGTTGACCCAGGGCAGCCAGGTGCTTTGGGATGGACCCACTTCCTGGGAAGGGGAAGGCAGGGGAAGCTGTGAGAACTTGGGAAGCGAGGGGGCTGCACTAGCACTGCTGCCTTCTCTGCACGGCTGGTTCCTGGCTGCCTCCACACGTTGGATGGATTTTCACTTTCTCTTTCCAGGACTTTTTAGCAAGTGCTCAGTTCATGAGCTGCAGAGCCTGCTGGAGTGTGGCTTAGTGCTGGAGCAGGAGAATTCCCTGAGCTTGAGCTTTTTTGGATCTCCTCCCTGCTTTTCCGTTGTAGCCGGAGGCAAGCCAGCCGTGGGACTCCCAGCTCCACTGTTCCCCAGAATGCTTGTCATCGTGATAATTACTGTGTTTGAGTGCTAGAGCTTCCCACATCCACGTTATCACAGCGGGAAAGGGCTTTTCCTGGCTTCTTCCTCTGTCTTGGGTGTGATCTTGGGTGTTTGGCCTCACCCCACAGAGGGAGAAGTCAGTGTTCAGTGAGCCCCCCTTGTTCCTGAGCTGAATTCTGCTCTGGGCCCAGAGTTGGTATGTTTTGCTGAGCATTTATTCCAGAGAACACTTGTTTTCCAGTCTGGAGCGTGCAGCCTTGGACAGCTTGCAGCAGCCTGGGGCAGAGAGGCTCCTGGGATGGAGGGAGCAGCCCAAGGTTCAGCAGCAGGGGCTGTAATTTATCCCTGTGTAGGCACAGCATGTCCTGCTGCTCAATTAGCAGCTCTTGGAGCTCATCTCTAGTTTATCTGTGCAAGGATAACGTCCTGGGGAGAGCAGTGCCTGCAGGCTGAGCTCAGCCCAGCCACGTTATCTCTGGGGCTCGTGGTCGGTTCTGACTCTGGATGGCAGATTTTGAGAGGTGTTTGGCTCACAGGACCTCAGGCAGGTGGCCCTGCCCCAGGTCTGGCTTGTCCTCAAGGACCATGGCTGTGGAGCAGTGCAGGAGAAACAGGTCTGGGGGACCACCTTTGTTGGCAGTGCAGGGAGGGGGCTTGGCCCCGTTGCCTCAAGTGAGGGCCTGATCCAGGCTGGTTTTTTCCTATATAATCTTCCTCATAACCCTTCAATCCACACTCATGGATTGAATAGAGCTTGAACAGAGCCCTGGGTGCCTGAACAGAGCCCTGGGTGTCTGAACAGAGCCCTGGGTGTCTAAATAGAACCCTGGGTGCCTGAACAAGCCCTGGGTGCCTGAACAGAGCCCTGGGTGTCTAAATAGTACCCTGGGTGCCTGAACAGAGCCCTGGGTGTCTAAATAGTACCCTGGGTGCCTGAACAGAGCCCTGGGTGCCTGAACAAGCCCTGGGTG